CCCCCAGTAATTATTTCAAAACATTGACAGCTATGACAGTAGGATGAATATTGGCTCAGCAGTTTTTGCAGCTGTCTACCCTTGACATCTCCCCCTGTGCTACTCCACGCACAGTAATAGATCCCGGAGTCGCTGCGGTCGGTCGTGTTTGCTGTGAGAGTAAAATCGGTGGTGTTGATCCGCGTTCCTTTAAAGTGCTGAAACTGCTCTACCGATGTGCTGCCCAGGGAGTAAGAGATGAAGTGAAGGGGACCTCCGTCCAGCCGGCGTCTGTACCAGTACATATGGGGGTCCCCTTGCCGAACCACCTTGCAGTGCAGTATAGTGCTCTGACCCGCATGGGTAAAAATAGAAGAGGGATGCTGGGTGATAAAATCGGGCAAACAGAACGGCAGGAAAAGAGGCAAGAGAATCAGAGGGACAAACATGACTGATGATACGCGTCAAGTCGTGCGCCCATTATCAAACCACACGTGTGTTGTCTGTTACAGCTTGACACGGTGTCTCCTCCTTCTGTTTGTGGTTTTCTCTCCCAAAAATATATGTGTTCAGAGCAAAACGCTTCCTGAACAGATGTCACAGAAAACATGTCAACTAAAGACAGGCGTTAGCAGTTGGAGTGTCCCTACACTTTTCACCGCCTGAGGCAGGGGGATGGGGTGGAGGGTAGTGGTTGCTGGTGCTGCAGGTCTGGGAGGAAGAAGTTGGTGGTCTAAGGGTTGCGCTGGCAGGGTATGTTACTCAGGGGGGGAGATGGGGATTCCGGATCTGTCCGGCATCCCACCCAACTCACCTGGACTACAGAATATTTAGCCTTTACATTGTAGAGACCTGAGAGTGGATTGAGTAGCTTAGCAAAAGACACTGGGCAGGGCTGACACCATAAAAAAGCTGTGTGGTCAGTTCACAATACTGAGTGCATTTCTGGCATATCAACACATATTTTTTCTGTATTTGTGGGATCTTTAAAGGGATGAAACATAGGGAAATGTTCTGTAGAGATGTACTATATATGTTTTTTTTCTTTTTCATTCACCTTGACATGCACTTTAATGCTCCGAAAAGTTTTTTTTAAAAAGCAGGCATTGTCTTTTAAATTCTAGTATTTTATTAGTCCACATGATATAGAAGGTTAACCCCGTAATCAGCATTTAAAACACACATTTGACCAGTGAGCACAAGACCAATCCTTAGTTCAGTCACGTTATGTCGTCGTATGTCAGAGGTGATTGACGTCTCTGTCTCTTTTATTGAAGATAAGGATTTCATTCCAGACCCGGCCCATTCTTTGGTTTAAAATTGTTGAGTTTATAGAAAGTTGAGTGGTCAGCTAACCAGAAATTTACAGCCATATACTATGTAACTATGTAACATAGGGGTGTTTTATTAGCCCCCGTATGTGATAGCAATAAAGTTTAGTGAAAAAAAAATTAAGTCCCCCCCAATTTTTTTTAAAGTTACACATGAAAAAGAATAAAAAAAAATTGTTTTAAAGTCCCCACCCATACATACACGCATGCAAACATGCATCGGGGGCACATACGTGCAAAAAAGACGACTGCACCCATTACGCCGCGCATGTTACATATCGCCGCGAACGTCGCAGTGAGAGCAATAATTCTAGGGCCATCAATCACTGATAACACTAAACTGATGAGCGGTAAAAGCTTTTAAAGTGTCGTCTATGGCCAATTTTGGGTATGGTAGTTTTCTGCGGTTTTGCGGGTGCGCGCAATTTTAAAGCTTGACATGTTTGGTGGCTATTTACCCGACGTGACCCTGACTTTTATATTTTACCAAAAAACTGGGTAATAATAAATGTTTCCTAACATAATGTAAAAAAAAACTTTTTTTTTTTCAAAATTTTCTGTAAGTTTTCCTAATTATAGTAAAAAATAAAAACCCCCAGTGGTGATTAAATACCATCAAAAGAAAGCTCTGTGTGTCCCCAAAAAATGGTATAAAATTAATTTCAGTACAGCATTGTATGACGGAATAAATGTCAGTCAAAGTATCGCAGCGCTGAATACTGAAAAATGGCCTGGCCAGGAAGGGGGTCTAAACACCTGGTCTTCAAGCGGTTAATATACAATAAATGTATGAACTGTGTAACTTTATCTTCCATTTAGTTATTGCTATTTTGTCATATACTACAGTGCCTCACACCCCCCTAAAACCGAACTAGTGCCCCCCCCTCCCCCCTGCAAGCTGGTATATCCTGCAAGCCTTGCCACCAGCATTGTCACTCTGTAATACAATCACAGGGGGGGCTACACAAAACATTACAATGTATTGGGAGATAGAAGTCACGTGGTTGACCAGCCAACAGGGTGTGAGCCGAAGCACGCTGCTCATGGCTTAGATTACATGAAAATGGTTCACTGAGAATTTTCTTTCAAATGCAGCATTATGCTATGTACAAAATACAGAAGATACAAGAAGATACATTTGTGTTTATTCCAGGACTCCTAAATGCTCCCTATTCACTTCTAGCATCATACCGACAATCACTTTCAGATCATTCTAAACAGTGTACCATTTGTGTCTGCGAGGGTTCTAATTCATCAAGGGGCATGGTATAGCTAGTAGCAGTTACATTCAACTGGGCTTGTTCTTTAATGCTGACAATGTTTCACTACTCATTCAAACATTTTCCTAAATTCTAAGATTCACCAAGAATTTATGGCCACACAAATAAGTCAATCCCCTTTATTCAACTTACCATGGAATGTGTCAAGTTGATGTTGATTGTCCAAGAACAAGGCGTAATCATTTTTAATACCACCGTGTTCTAAATACATAATCCAATCACAATGGATCCAGAATGTCTAAGCGAGGTGTTTACTGTTGGAGTTACATGCAGGGCCGGATTTACTCTCTCTGCTGCCCCAATGCCAGGTTCCTCAATGCGCCCCCCTGTATGCAAGCTGCATACAAGTGATCTCGGCAACATCGGTGAGATCACTTGTACAAAGCAAGCGATGGCTTCCCTGCTTTACATTTAGCCCTGCTTGCCCAAAGCAGGGCTAAATGTAGAAAACAACTACACGCCCGACACCTGGAACTGCATGTCCCGGGCGTCGGGAGAAAGGAATTCCACACCCCCGCTGCCCCTCTACTCCCTGCTGCCCCAAGGCCGGGCCTCGTTTGGCCATGTGAGAAATCTGGCCCCCGGTTACATGGCTGAGGTGTAAATTGTTTTCAAGGTGTTGTCATGTAACCTATGTCCTGACACTCATTAGAACTGAGGAAGCTTCTCGGAAGAAAGATGCAATGTTTTTAACATTATAAAACCACTCCAGTTGATTGTGACTAACAAACCTAACCAAAAAACGCATCTGTTTTGCAGGTATCCAGATCACATGACAGTTCAGGGGTTGCAATAAAAAATTACATTTGATATTACCTTGAGAACTAAAGTAGAATTTGTGCTGAATAGATGTCTGTCTTTGTGAATTCCCACCACTGTCCATCAGTAACTGGTTATTAGATGCTCAACCGGCAATTCATATTTTTGTCTGTCTTATCCCCATCACTGTCCATCTGTAACTGGTTTTAAGATGTTCTATTGCCAATAAATATTCTTGTCTTGTGCCCCAGGATCTTGTGGCATATGATTGATTGAGTTGTCTGGCTTTGCGTCCTCTGGAGGCATGCTGACCTGTAGCGTCGCTGAGAGATTAATGTCAGTCAGTGGTCCTCTTGATCATAGTCCTGTCTCAGTGAATTTGTGAGTCTTGCCTGATATTTCTGCATAAGTCTGTCTTGTGTCCTTAAGTCACCCTGCCTCTCACGGCCTTTAACGCCTCCCGAGCCGCAACAAACGCCAGTCTCTGCCAAGGCTTCAGACTTCAACAGGTTCTAACGGCTGTAGATGAGCTTTCAGAAGCTGGATGCTGCTGAGTATCTTCTTCTGGTGGCCAGAAAGTGTCACACCAATTAGCTGGATATCTCTGAAAGTGAGAAAAGGGAGAAATCGTTTAAACGGACATCGTGAAACAACAGCATAAAAATGTGCTAGGCATGTAAATTATTTAGGCAAAGACAAAAGACATTTTATATTTGCAGTAATATGAGACAATTTGATGGAAGTATTCATATTCACAGCCGGATTGTGAAATACTACATCTTTTTTAGATGAATGTTCTATGAAGAGGGGTCTTTTTGAGGATATGTCTACTTTAAATTAAAATGTGTCAAAAAATGTCCATGCGGTGATAAGTCCTTTTTCTCACTCCTGTTAGTGGCATTAGTATAAGATAGGTCAGTCTGTCAGTAAAATATATGAGAGGTTAGAATTCGTCTGCTGGTATGGAAAGTTAGGGGACACCTGACTATCACACCTACAGTATATGAACTTGTTGGACATCCCATTCCAAAACAATGGGCATTAATAAGAAGCTGACCCTCCCACCTTTGTGGCTACAACAGTCTCCACTCTTCTGAGAAGGTTTTCCACAATATTTTGGTGTCCGTCTGTGGGAATTTGCTGCCCGCTCAGCCAAAATAGCATTTGTGAGTCTGGATATTGATATTGGGTGAGAAGACCTGGATTTTAGTTTGTGCTCCAGTTCATCCCACAGGTGTTCAGTAGGGTTGAAGACAGGTCTCTGAGCAGGCCATTTGAGTTCCTCCACACCAAACTTATCAACCCATGTCTTTATGCCTGTGTAGCCTCCCCTGTGATTGTATTACAGTGTGCCATTGCTGGTGGCAAGGCTTGCAGCTCTTTAAACATTGATTACATGGACAATAGTAAATGAAGCACATATCTCTGGGTTAACCATACGGTCATAGTGTTAACTTTTAGAGATCTCCAAAGATTTTATATCTTTACCTAGAGAATTCTGTGCTGGAAGAAATACACTATACAGCCAAAAAGCTTGTGGTTGCCATCTGACCATCACACATACAGAAGCTTGTTGGTTATCCCATTCCAAAACCATGGGCATTAAATGTCTCTGAGGGAACCTTGGCCAATTCAGTAAAAAAAGTATTTGTAAGGCACTGAAGTTAAATGTAAAGACCTCGCTTACAATCAGCATTCCAGTTCACTGCAAAGGTGTTCAATAGGGTTGAGTTAGGATTCTGTGAAGGCCACTTGAGTTCCTCCACACCAAACTCATCAAACCATCTCTTTATGGAGCTGGCTTTGTGCACTGGGGCACAGCCATGCTGGAACAGAAAAGAACCTTCCCCAAACTGTAACCACAAGGGGGGAAAAGCACAAATGTCTAAACTGCCTTTGTATGCTTTAGCATGAACTTTACACTTCACTGGATTCACCTGAACTCAATAATAATGAGGGGGGTACACATAATTTTGACCATATGGTGTATATTCTATGTCCTTCACACGGTCAAACATCTGTATACTCACAAAGTAATTAGAAGATATCTATAAAAAATTCTTATAACAGATTGCATTCAGTATGAATATCAATTTTCCTTACTCAGCAGTCAGACGAGAAATGACATCTAGGCTCGTATATCCGGCTTTGTCAAAGTTCTCCTTGTATCGTTCCATTTTGATGGCCTCCAGCCACTCATGGGGTGATGAGAGGGAGGGGAGATCTGGAGGACAATTGCTCAGAAGAGGCTGAGAGGGTCTGACGGAGAAGAGAAAGTTAAACATGGCAGCTTTCCGCACTAGTAATAATCATTCAGCCGTGTTCTGGTTTTCACAGCTCTTACCTTACGTTAAATGGGCTTTTAGTTTAAATAATTTATAGCAGTGTTGGAACAACTCACTAAATAAAACAAAATCTTACCATTCCGGCTTTTAGAATAAAATAATTGTGTTTGTATTTACTCAAAGACATTAAAAGTCTTCTGAAAATCTGTTCTGCCGACAACTTCCTCTTTTCGCCCCTCATGTTTCTGTTCAGAGCATGAATATTTGCCACGATCTGTATTTTTTTGCACTGCAGGCTATAATAGGATCTTTGCTGATGGGTTTGTTACTTCCGTCTCCTTGTTAAAATTCCCAATAAATATATGAACTGTGGGGCAGGATTTTTAGCCCTTTACTTAACCACAAATTAACAATTCCTAATAGAAGCCAAAAGAGGCTTGACTAACATCCATCCTTGTCCCCAGCCGCACCCTTAATGACAGCTCCAGAATTGAGTATCTCTGACTTTTCAAGGAACTGAGCCCCCGTTAAAACAATTGAAACCAATAGGAGAGCACCATACCATTAGATTGATCCCCCCCCCCCACTTTGTAACCATGTCACCTTTTCATGGGCCTCTCAAAGACCCCCTAACCTGCCAAGCCATCATGCCAGTCACATGAAAACCAAATCTGTGGTCAAGCAGTTAGCAAGGGATAGTGGGTGGGACAACTTTCTACCCTTATTGACTGTCCAGAATGAACTCCCAGCAGCACTTGCAGATCCTACCTCTGCGGCTCTTCCCTACCACCTGACCCTCCACCTCCAATCAGGTAAAGCCGGCTGCTTCTACACTAATAGTTAACTCTTTCCTGGGGACTATTCCTCACCCCATTCATGTAGACTCTTTGTTAATCTTTTCTTCCGGGTATATGTATTTTGTGGATGAACAGAGAAAAGGGCTGTGTGTGAGACAATCTTGTGTCGGAAGTAAGCTTTTAGAGCATAAGAGACATTTGACAATACACCACCTATCTTTCAATATGATGGACTTGGCCATAATTGACACTTGGCCGACAACAACAGTAAAGAACAAAACTTTGGTATAGGGATGAACAGTCCAGTATCAGGTTCCTTCCCAAGTTTCTCTCCAAGATAACCCTTATTTTGACTTTACTTAGTCTTTATTGGTAGTAAATGTCACACCCCTCTGAGGAAGTCCAGGTAGGTGGACAAAAGGTGTTAGAGATATGTGTGGTGATTCTGTATCCCAGCTTGTACAGCCTTGTTATCCCTGTTACCCACCAACCACATCTACATTGTCTGGCACAGCAAAATAATGACTGGAAATATGTTATGTGATCCAGCGTCGACTCATGGTGGACCAACATCTTGTGTTCTTAGGGACATGTATAGGTACAATGCAATGCTGCACCAGATAACTAAGGTTGCTCTGATGTATTACATATCACAGGCACTGCTCTCTTCGTGGACGCCTACCCTGCCTCTTCCTAAACCCTGAGTTATTACTCTTTCAAACAACTCATTCCCACCTAGCTGCCAGCTTTGGTATCACCTGCCTCTCCCTTTAAGATTGTAAGCTCAAACAGACAAGGCCTCTTGTCTTGAGTTGGGTTGTAACTGTAATATATTCCTTATATTAAAAAAAAACTGCGCAAACTGTTGGCGATATATACATTTTGAATAATAATTATAATTAAATGCATATGCTGGGAGTAGGAGGATTTTAATTGTCCTAAACTTAGGAGTGTTTTTGGTAATTAAGAAATCAATGTTTTGGTAATCTATTTGAATATTTGTAGATACGTTTATTATTCATGTGGCATCTGACTTCAAATTAATATCTCCAATTGATAAGGGGGGATACATTCTAAAAAAAAAGTCCAAATCCTCCTATCCATGCCATGATGCTTTGGCAATCCGTACTCTAACACATCAGTAAACTTTCTACATGCATTTAGATGTTAATTGCATCATACATCATTTCGATATACTGTATAACCATCACTCACCTACTGGCTGAAACTCCTACTGTTTTCAAACAATTGGGGTTCCTGATCATCCGATCCAAAGAGCTGACAATCTGTTCGAATCGCGGCCTCTGAGGACGGTCCCGCTGCCAGCAGTCTAACATTAAGAGGTGCAGGACACTTGGGCATTCGGGGGGTGGAGGAAGACGGTATTCCTGCTCGATGGTATCCAGCACCTGAGGATAGGACAGAGAATGAAAGTGCATGTAAATTCAATCACAAAACCTCAGATGAGCTTTACCATGTTAATAGAGACGAGTGAACCTTGCTTGAAGTTTGCAAACCTTTGTGGAGAACCCCAATGAAGTCTTCGGGAGAGAATCTTTTTATTCAATGTTGGCCATTTGTAGGTCTTATAAGCAAGCTATTGTCAATGTATTGTATAAGATAATGGGCACTGCCCTGGGGATCATGTATTATTGCCAAACTAAAAAAACAATCAATCTTTATATAAAACAAAAAAAGTATCTCTTTCTTCACAGCATTGTCAGATCTCCTTAACAGCTCCAACACATTGACAATATGGCTTCTATAGAAAGGGAGTTGGGTTGTCCATTCGTTCAAATTATTGGATCTTGTGAGTCAGTGTGGCAGGGGTTTGTACATTGCCTAACTACATTTTGCTGGAAGGCGTACCTCTTTCTCATCTCAGAAAGTTGGGAGGTAAGGATGTGCAAATTAACATATGTCAACGTGTGTGCATTAAGGTACACGCAGCTTGACTACATTTTTGTGATTTGTAAGCTTTGCAAAACCCGGGGTTTCCCTGCAAAGCTGAATACCAAAATACCTAACACACTAAGGCAATGCTGCTCCAATGCCAATGCGATGCAGCGCATCACAACTCACGGTAATGGAATGTGTTGTGGTATGCTGCATTGCAAAACTGGTGCATGCTCACTTTGGGAAATGTTGGTGCCATTCATTTGAATGGGCTGTCTTAACACAGTGCACATTAATGCACCATAAAATGTGTGTTAGCACAAGTACATTAAACCAATGCAGGGTGCCAAGGCCTGAATGGGCCTTGCATGAAATAAGTAAAATTACCCTAAAACAACCCTCCCCACCACAAGAAAAAAAAAAAAGCATACACACCTTCTAAACAAAATAACAACTACAATTTGGCTTAGGCGAAAATTTGAACGTTCACTGTTGAATTATTAAAATCTTGCAGGCTTACTTATGAAAAATTCATAATTAGCACTTTTTTAGCTTTAGTTACTCTGCCTTCAAGTAATCTGTAGAGAGAAATGATAAATAGGGTCAGCCAGCATTCTGCTTGTGAAAATTTAATTTGACTGGCTGCTATGCTGATCCTTTGGCTTCAGTACTAACTTGGGACAAGCAGGTAAAGCATGGCAGAATTCAGAAGTCCATATCTGCGTACTTGTCCCGGGTCAGTGACTCTAAGTGCTGTAAAATAAGGAGCAGTGTGACCTCCAAGCAATTGGCATTTTTGGAAGGAGAGGTCAGCAAAGGTAGTTTTTCCTCTCTTGACGGGTTTCTTCTTTAGAGTCAGGACCCAGGAGTCAGCTGAGGGTCAATGCCCTGACTGATACCTGACCTCCCATACTGTCTCCCAGCTCTGCAGAGTAGTGAAGGATAATGTAAAAAACTATAGGACTCAGTTATCTGATGCTGTTACCTTCACTCAGGAGCTGGAGGACACTAAGTAAGGTCAGGTAATGTATAGGGCAGACTTCAGATGTCCTGTAAAGGTAAGTCAGTGTGGATATTTTAAATGTTTCATGAGAAAGCTTGGACAAGTTTATCTATTAAATGCTAAATATGGAAATTCTTGGCCAAGGTCATGACTGGTTCTCATTTAAGAGACTGCTTTTACCGAGCAGTTCACTAGGAGCTGGTGCGATTGTCACCTCTACAGCCTTTACTGTAAACATAGACCAACTTTTCTGAACCAGGGTTCAATTGAATTCTAGGGTTCCTTCTGAAGTTCTTAGGGGTTCCATATATAGTGGCAGCTTAAACTCCCACCTAATCGTGCCTGCAAATGGTGGTTCCCGGGGGTTGGTGTCACTCCGCAGAGCCAGCAACATGGAACCAGTGGATCCTCTGCTCCTGACTTCACTACTGACCATGGTGATCTTTATAGCTATCTGTAAGGTGGTGCTGGGGTGGGTGGAGAATTCCTTCCTTTGGCCCCCAATGTAAGGAGCATTCTTCCTACTGACCACCATTGTAAGTAACATTCTTCCCACTCACCACCAATGTAAGGAACATTCTTCGTACTGACCCCCAATGTAAGGGGCATTTTTTCTAATGACCACCAATGTAAGGAACATTCTTCCTACTGACCCCCAATGTAAGGGCCATTCTTCCTACTGACCACCAATGTGAAGGGCATTTTTCATAATGACCACCAATGTAAGGGGTATTCTTCCTATTGACCACCAATGTAACTGGACACAACTTCCTCTGACCACCAACAGAAGTGACTGATGGCCAGTGTAAGGGGGGCCTTCTTCCACTGACCACCAACATAGGGAGACCTGCACTGGCCAGCAATATAAGAGGACACCTCTCCTGCTGATCACATATACTATGAGTTCTGAGGATCTGTCAAGTGTACACAACTCCCACTGCAAACAGTAGATTGTTGGGATATAAGTGCTCTACCCATAACTTCTGTGGTATCTGGGGTGGCGGGGTGATACAAAATTTTATTGCACACCTCTTGATTGCTCATGTCCCAATATGGTCTTTCTCCATAGGATGCCACTTCCCACATGACGATCCCATAGCTCCAGACATCACTCGCGCTGGAGAATTTCCGCTGCTGATGAGCCTCAGGTGCCATCCAACGTAACGACTGTCTGCCGACCTGAAATAAAGTAGAAGATGACTTCCAATAAGAGGAGAGAGCACTGAACCTTAAATCTCTGCTCCTAAGAAATGATTAGCACTCGAAGAAGGAGAACCCAAGGGCAGCTAAACATCAGTTACAGAATTTAGTAAACTGGTATACAAGAAAGAGATTTCTTTTTATAGACACAGGGGAATGTATGGGGGCTAATGTTTTACATCATAAATTACAGTGGGTTATTGTAACTGTAAATCATCATGTCCGTATTAAGTGGGACTGATCCTCCATACTGCTGGTACTCCCAATATTCTGAACAGTAAGGGGCTTACCACATCTCCGGGCCCACGTAAGCCGGACACTTTGCACACCAGCTGGCCATTCACCAAGACACTGCGAGCAGCGAGATTCCTGTGAACGTAACTTCTCTCCGAAAGGTAACGCATACCTGATGCGACTCCACGCAGCATAGAGACTATCTGCAGGGCCGACATACCACCCTCACATTGCTGGGATAGAAGAGAGGATGGATGGTCACAGCACATGAAACTTACAATATATTCCAAATCTATCTATCTATCTATCTATCTATCTATCTAAGCATATGGTCATGTGACCGGCCACCATGGTGCTCCCATGCAAAGATTTCTCCAGCCAAGATTGCTATTTTTGGGGTTCTACCACTCTGTGTGTGTGTTTGGGGCAGGGTAGGCAGAAGATTGAAGGTCCTATTTTAAAAGGTCTCTACACACTTACACAGGCATACTACAAAGCTCCCTGTGCACACTTACTCGAAGATATGCATCCAGCTCCCCGTTCTCCATGTACTCTGTAAGGATCATTATGGGGCGACTTCGAGTCACAGCCCCTTCAAGGCGCACGACATTGGGGTGATCAAATTGTCCCATGATGCTTGCTTCACTGAGGAACTCCGCACGTTCCTTGTCTCCACTCCCTGAGCGCAGCGTGCGAATACACACAGCTATCTCTCTTTTTCCAGGGAGACAAAGGCGGCCACGACACACATCGCCATACTCTCCTGCCAGAGAAAGTAAAGAAAAAAAAAATCTTTACCGTGTTCTGCAACATTTTTAATCTCTGAGTGGTAGTTGTCACCTGGCCCTTCTCCACTTCAAACCCAGGATCCACGGTTGACATAAATCGTATGAAAGGACCGTTTGCTTCCTCTCGGAATTAAATATTAGTACATGCTATATACACTGAGTGGCCAGTTTATTATGACCACCTGACATTTGTAGGCAAATTAGCTATAATTAGCTATAAGTTCGCGCTGAAGTTGCTAGAGGGCCAGACCATTATAAATAGAGAAGCAGGTTGTTTACCACGACGGTAGAAGTGATTTGTTTCTGAAGATACGGGGAAACAACGCGATTTAACAGCCTTTGAACGCGGGATGATTGTTGGCGCTCGCAGACATGGAGCGAGTATCAGCAAAACAGCAGAATTCGTTAAATGTTCAAGAGCAGCTGTTGTTAAAGTGGTTAAAGACTGGACTGTCAGCCGAAAATCTGGGTCTGAACGTGCGAATTGTGGCCGTCAGCGACTAGTTAATGTTAGGGCAGAACGGAGAGTGGCAAGACTGGTACAAGACAACAGAAGGGCAACAGTGCCGTGTCAGATTCCTCGCATCACCTTTCATCATCTCGTGGAGTCACGAGGCGGCCCAACGAAGTACTGATGGGGTGGTCATAATAATCTGGCCACTCAGTGTATAGAGAGAGGCATTATCTGGCAAGATGGTGGACATTTTGTGTCACCTGCACATGGTGAGGGGCTCCAAGATTTATGGGTGATGTTAATAAGATCTTAAAAAGTTATCTTCTGGGTCCTGGAGCTTTGTAGAGCTTTGGGTGTGATAAAGCCAATTCCAAGGTCCACATCTTACCTGGAAACCAGACCTTATTACTAGTCTCAGCTGTCCATACAGTTCAGTGATTGTTGCGTGGAGAAAATGCCTGATAAAAGAAAATGAATGCAGCCACCACATCTACGGAACTGGTAGGCTGCTGTATATTACATTATTGTTCTTGGGATTAGAAGTTAACCCCTTGCTAATCCATAAATATTGCATACAATCATAGCTGACCTATTCATTTATTAAACACATTGGAATATTATAAGAAATACATTTGGGGGGAGGGGGTGGAAGGAGTAGGTTGTTGCATAATATCCGGGTATTTGATGCCTCTGTTCAGGAATAAATAATTTGTACTTTCTCGTTGCAGTCAGTCCAATGAAACAGAAAACTCATAGTGTATTTCTCATAAAACGCCTCGGGGTCCGCGCAAATATTCATCTAATCGTATCTTCGTCTCATTACAAGGAGGATGTCAGGACAAATTTTTAACACATTTTAACATAACAGGCGATTACTTCCACATGACGGACCGTCTTCTCCACCGCAGATGGACTTTAGGGAGCGAGATTAATGCTAATTACCAAGCGGAGGGGGGAGGGGATTTTACAAATGGACATGAGCAGGGCCGGATTTGCTCTCCCTGCCGCCCCAAGGCCAGGTTCCGCAATGCGCCCCATCCCCGCCAACCGAACCCCCCCCCCCAAATCAACGGAGAATGGCAACCAGATGGCAGGGGTGGCAGGGTTAGTTCTAATTTTTTTTGTTTCTTTATTTTTTCTTGCTTTTTTATCACTTTTTTATTTTTATTTATTTTTTACATTTTTAGCTTGTCGTTTACTTTTTTTAAAATAATTT